TTTTTATGTGTGTTCATAATTTTTTTTTTCAAAAAATTGCGTGGAATTAACACACCACGTCTTAATGTCGGGTGGTGTACATCACCAATAATATATTTTACATTCCTGATGAATGAATATCTTCTATCACTTTGTCAATTTTTTTTAAAAAAAGTTAACTTGTGTATCCCATAACTTAATTTTATGATAAATTCTCATTATATATGTACATTACGTGATACTAGGGCTATCCATGGGCCGGACCGATCTTGGTCCGTAAATTTTTTTTCGAATCATGCTTGAGTAGTGTAGACCCAAACTTGTACTCAGGCGAGTGGCCGGCCGAGCTTCAGGTAGGGGTAAACTACCCGTAGCTTAGCCTGTCACCTTTTGGGCGGACTTTGCAGGCGGGTTTTTTGGGCTGGTTTTATTGGGCTTGTTGGGCCCTATTGAAAAAATATACAATTTTATTTATTTTTTTTGTAAATTATAGTTTTGAATTAAAAGTATAGTCAAAATCAAAATAGACAAAAATTAAATAGTGAATAATTTTTTTTATGAATAGAAGAGAAATTGCATCACTACCATTCATTCAAGTCTCCAACTCTTTTTTTTTGAACAAAAGTCTTTACCTCTTAACATAAACATATATGGGCGGGTATGGACTTCGAGTGGGTTTCAAATATGTGGACAGGTTATTGGGTCGGACTTCAATTTCGGGCTGGGCTTCGAGTCGGGTAATGGGTTTAGGGGTAAACCTAGGCTTTTTTTTAAAAAATATTAGGCTCGGTCTCGGGCAGGCCAACTATCGGGCATATCGAATTTCGGGCTAGGTAACAGGACCCGTGGATAATCTGACCCATGAACACCCCTACGTGATACTGTCACCCACGAACCTATTCAAAATTTTCTCTCAAACTCTTACCCTTTAGAGTGTCTTCAATCCTTACCCTCTTTGAAGCTCAAATTTAAATATGGACAAAAAATTTTTTAGAAACCTTTTCCACATATCTATAACAAATTAAGAGAATATTTTTTTTTTTAACTCAAATTAAGAAAAATTCAAATGTATACCCAAATTTTTAATGGTGGAATTTTACCATTCTTTAAAGATCAAATTGTCATATTTTATCTTTTTTTAAAGTTGAATTTTACCTCATTTAAATTTAAATTTCTTTTCCTTTAAATTTGAATTGCTCAATAGAAAATGTCTATACTAAATTAAGTTTTTTGCCTATTTTTTTACTCGGTAAGGGTATATGCTTCCATTAAAGACTAATAAGTTTTTAGTCCAATCGCATTATTTGTCTTGTAAAAACTGTCTTTTTATTCATACATTTTTTGCTCAAATAAGTTTAAAAAATTGTACCCACACCCAAAAAAAAAAAGGTTTCCACTTAAAATTAGGGCCGGCCCAACCGTATGGAAAAAAAACATAGGCTTTAGACCCCAAATTTTTAGAAGGCCTCATAATTTTAGGTAAATCATTAGCCCACAAAAAAAATTAAATCTATTAAATTTTAAGCCCTACAAAAAATCCCAAAAAAAATTAAATTGAATCAAAATTTTTATTGTAATAATTGGGTATAAAATCCAATCCATAATATTAAAAACTTATAAATTAAAAAAATTAAAAAAATACTCAAAAGTCAACTCATATTTACTCCCACTCACTTTTTTTTTTCTCTCTCTCTCCCATAGAAAAAATAAAAAACAAAAATAAAAGTTGAAATTAAACACTATCTCTCCCTCTCTTTGGTAAAAAATAAAAATAAAAGTTGAAATTTCTTTCTCGATAATATTAACACATTTTTTTTTGCCTCTCTCTCACATAAAAAATTAAAAATAAATTATTATTTTTTTAAAAATAATACTAAAAATAAAAAAATTTTATTTAATATTTCTGCTTTAGACCTCAAATTAAGTTGAGCGGCCTTTTTTGAAAATAGTCTTAGCGTGGAAGTTTGGCATAAAACTTGTCGTTTACTACGGTTATCCTACCACCACATACCTAGGAAAAACGTTTAACACGCGTGGGAAATTAAAGAAAATAGACATGCAAGTACCCCTTTTTTTTGTTCGGACATTCCATGTGATTTGAACCATATGAAAACTATGGTTCAATTCACATTATTAAATTATCTGCCTTGTGTGGTAGGAAGAAAATCGAAATTATTAAATTATCTGCCTCGTGTGGTAGGAAAAAATTCGAAATTATTTAGGATATTCAATGTACTGGTTATATATCATGTTACTATCGTCATGTGATGTAACCATTTAATAATAAATAAATAAATAAGACAAGTGAACCTCACTAATTCTTGCATGATACTTTTGAATGTGAAAATTATTAGTGATTAAGCCCACTCACTAGTCTTATATAATTGTTCATAATTAATCGGTTACAAACCTTATAGTGATGACCATCTTCATTATTTTTCATTGAAAAGTACAGCTTTATTTCCTCCACTAGATGTTCTGAAATATCTGAGATTTAGGATTAAGGTTTGGTAGGGAGTTTCATTGAGTCTAGGAAGACGTATGAGTCGTGAGGCATCAGAAAAGGGCAACACCACATGGAAAAATGAATCCTAGGTAGAGATCTTAGGTTATTTTACTTGTAATCATTGATATTGAAAATAATAAAGTAAAATAAAATAATAAAATATACAACACTTTACACTAGTCATGCTTTGATTAGTTGAAAATGGGAGATATTTAAGGCCAACAATATTCGGATTTTAAACCCTATTTTCAAAGACGACTCTACAAATTTTAGGCCCCGCTCCCCAAAAAAAAAATCTTATGAAAATGTAAACCTCATCAAAAATAATTTGGGTAGTCTGCGCCAATGAATTTATCCCATAATATTAAAAACTCAGGAAAATAAATTTTTTGGGAAAAAGAGAGCAAAATCTCAACCAAATATGCACCACTCATTCTCTCTTTCTTGTAAAAACACAAAACTTAAAACATCTCTCTCTCTCTCTCTCCAATAACACAAATCCTTCCTTTTATGGTTTGTGTTTATCTTATTCTTGAATGTTTTGTAAAACGTGACAGTTTTTTTTATAGTGATTGGTTTAGATTTATTTTTTAAATTATAACTTTTTAAAGAAAAGTTTACAAACAGAAGAAAGCAATTCAATTGATATAAAAGGCTAGATTTCTTTTTTAGGTATACATCGTTTTCAAAATTATTGACAACTCCTCCAACAATTGCTTCTGCCAAGACAAAGTATTTCAATATTAAAATTAATAAAATCTTAGGTAAAATCAACTATCACAAAAAATATTAAGGAAATTAACGATACTATCAATTTAAAAAGATATAATACTAAAACTTAAACCTAAAAATTTTATTAGTATTTTACTTAAAAAAATAAGAAGAATAAATCTTAAATAAAAAATATCAATATTAAAAATAAAAGCCTCTTTTAGTTGTCTTTTAGGCCACAAATCATATTGGGTCTTGAAAAATATCATTTTTTCAGTATCGTAATTAGACCCGATTAAATATAGTAACTTTTTAAAACCCTTGAGAATGGAGAAAATATTCAATATAACGGTGACACCATATCATTATTATCACGTGATATCACTATTCAATTAAAAAATGACAAAATAGATAAAGTAAACCTTAAAAATGACCCCGTAATTGATTTTTATGAAAATAGCAAAATTAACCCATTTATAATTTTGTAATTAAAAAAATAATATTACGTGATAATAGTAATAACATGATATTTGCAATGGAAATTTTGTCCGAATGGGGCAGTCTTTGTTTGAATTCTATTCAACTGAATACGACTCCAAATAATTTCATCCCCCATGTTCTGACCCACGACATGCGTCAAATCTGTGTAATTATAAATAATACTTTTATATAATTTAAAATTTTAATCTAATTAATTAACATAATGATGTGTCAAGTAATATAGTGTTTATTAAAAATATTAATAATTGCAAGTAGAATAATGCTATTGAATGGTGTTAGCTCCTTTATCAATAATATATAATGTTATTATTTACCCCCAAAAAATAATATAATGTTACTTAAAATTTAATTTATTAATCTAATTTATTGACTTAATCAATCATATATTAAATTGATAGTAAATCCAAATATTAGGTGAGACTTAGTACTATTGAAATAATTTTGTTGAATTAAGTCAACAAAATTATTCAGCAAAATAGGTCTAAATAATATTAATGTTATTTTACAAATGAATCATATCAACTAGCATATCATCATTAAATTAGTATTTTTGGTAAGATTTTTAAGTTTATTTAGTATTTTTCTTTTAAAAATATTATTTTGGGATTTAAATATCTTATCTAGTATTGTTTCAAGTAATATACGTACTTAGAATGAAGAACACCGACAATTATAATTACAATAACTGACGTAGAGGAATAGGGAGCACAAAGAATATTATTGTTCTTTATGTATTGAGCCAATAGGAAAACTATGAATCCACATAGATAATAAATAAAACTCTAAAATATGATTTTTATTGAATTAATAATCCGTAGTACAAATGAGTAGTATAAATAAGAATGATCAAAACTCTAATAGTTCCCATAACTAAAGCAAAATCTCTAATATTATGAAAATTATTAAAAATTATAAATATGTGATTTTTTGAATTAACATAAAAGCACGTGTCGTCTAGAGCTTAACAAAATTAATGACGCTGAAATTTTGATAATTAATTAACAAAATTAATTTATGAAATTATTTTCAAAACAACAAAAATAAAGTTTTGAGAGGTTAAAGGATGAAATTCATCACAAAGTTCAAGGAGTTCATGGCTAAACATTTGGCCACGTCATCGATGGCTCCCGTGTTTCACATGTGACTTGAGGATCTCATGTTTCACAATTGATTCACGCAGTTCTTTTCATGCACAACCAGTATAAAAAGGCTATAGCCAATACTACGAACCAGCAAGCACACAAGCAACCATTACAACAACCCTCTCTGAGCCAGCAGGCAATCACACAAAACACAAAAGATCATGAAGATCAACAATAACACCTTAGTCACTTCCTTCTACTCCTCAACCCTATTTCCTGGCTCTCAACATATGGTCTCAATTGAATCACCACTAATGCTTTTGAGCTTTTCCTTCTCTATTCTTCTTCTCGTGGCAATATTGTTCTTTCTTTTTGTCAAGTACAAATACAAATCCATTGGGAATAAGAACAAATCACCACTTCCTCCTGGCCCAAAACCATGGCCGATAGTTGGAAATCTCCCCGAAATGCTTAGAAACAAACCCGCCTTCCAATGGATACACAACCTTATGGATGAAATGAACACTGAAATAGCTTGTATTCGTCTAGGAAACGTTCATGTTATCACAGTTACTAGTCCTGAATTGGGACGAGAGTTCCTGAAGAATCAAGATGCCATTTTCTCATCTAGACCCATTTGCATGGCTGCTGAACTTGCTAGCAACGGTTACTTGGCAGCAATTCTTGTTCCCTTTGGAGAACAATGGAAAAAAATGAGGAGAATCCTCGCTTCTGAGGTGCTTTCTCCGGCGAAACACCGGTGGCTTCAAGGCAAAAGAGACGAAGAAGCTGATCACCTTGTTCGTTACGTGTATAACCAGTGCAAAACCACCATGGAAGGCGGAGTAGTGAATGTGAGAATTGCCACTCAGCATTACTGTGGTAATGTGATAAGGAAAATGATCTTTGGAAAGAGGTTTTTCGGAAAAGGAATGGAAGATGGAGGACCAGGGGTTGAAGAGGAAGAGCATGTCGCCGGGCTTTTCACCATTCTTGGGTACCTTTATTCTTTTTGTATCTCTGATTATTTACCATGTTTAAGAGTGTTTGACATAGATGGGCATGAGAAGATTATGAAGAAAGCTCTTGGGACTGTAAGAAAATATCATGATCCTGAAATTGACCAAAGAATTGGGAAATGGAAGGAAGGTTGTAAGAAAGAAAAAGAAGACTTGCTTGATGTTCTGATTACTCTCAAAGATATAGATGGTAGACCAGTGTTGTCAGCTGAAGAGATCAAAGGCCAGATAGTTGTAAGTCTCTTTCTCTCTCTCTCTCGCATACAAACACACACACTCTCACATGAGAGTAGTGATGTTAAACATGGCATTGGAAATTAACCAGGAGCTCTTAATATTGCATATTCTTTTTAAGTAAATATTAGGTGTAACGGTTACACTATATCAATAATGTTAATGTGGTATAATAATTCAATAAAAAAATTACAAAAGTGAATAAAATAAAACTCATTTTCTATTCAGTAATGCTAGATTGATCAAATTTTTAAACCAAATTTGGAGCTCAAATGACATGACAGATGATTTGAATTTTTTTGATTGGTGTTATATCATTTGGGTCCCAATAAAAATTTCAAATAATCAACTGTCATGTCATTTAGGCTCTAAATTTTGTCCCAAAATTTGGCCAGTGTAACAATATTCTTTTCTATTACACTAATACTATTGGGACATAATTGAAGGACATAATTTGGGAACAACTCAGTGTGTCCCCAATGAAATGATAGTAAAATATATGAGTAATGCTATACTGACCAAAATTTGGGACCAAATTTAGAAACCAAATGACATGACAATTGATTATTTGAAGTTTTTATTGGGACTCAAATGACATGACATCAATCAAAGAAACTCAAGTCAACTGTCATGTCATGTGGGCTCCAAATTTGGTCCCAAATTTTGGTCAGTCTAGCATTATTGAAAATATATTTAATGATAGGTCTCATTGTAGTATTAATGAATTCATTATCATATCATTGGTGATACCTCATTATGTCCTCAAATTATGTTCATAAATTATGTCCCAATAATATTACTCTATCTATTATGGATATAGTTATGCACTACAAGTTGTTACGAATTTTTGTGAAACTCATTTGCTGACTTGTTTACTTAGTAGTGAACGATAACACCACGTGATAGTAATTAGTGGATAAATATGCCACGTGACACTACTGTAGTGTCGATTACACCCAATATTTATCATTGATCTCATACCTTATTGTCAAAAAAAAAAAGAGTAATGTCGTGCTGCTTTTGCACTGGTGCAATATCGTTAAAGAATAATGGTTTCACAAAATAGCGTTAATTAATTGGTGTACTTCACAGGAACTAATGATAGCAACAGTGGACAATCCATCAAATGCTGTCGAATGGGCACTTGCAGAGATGATAAATCAGCCCCAGACCATTGAAAAAGCCATAGAAGAACTAGACAGAGTGGTTGGAAAAGAGAGATTAGTCCAAGAGTCCGATTTGCCACACCTCAATTACGTGAAAGCATGCGCCAGAGAAGCCTTTCGGCTTCACCCCCTTGCACCCTTCAATGTTCCACACGTGTCCCTCGCAGACACCACCGTCGCCGGTTACTTCATCCCTAAGGGTAGTCACGTGATGCTGAGCCGACCGGGACTCGGCCGAAACCCGAGAGTTTGGGAGGAGCCACTCAAGTTCAAGCCGGAGCGCCACCTGAAGGACGCTGGCTCGGAGGTGGGGCTTTCTGACCCGGAGCTGAAGATGTTTTCGTTTAGCACAGGAAGGCGTGGGTGTGCGGGGGTGACATTGGGTTCTACCCTGACTGCCATGCTTTTGGCTAGGCTTCTTCAAGGGTTCACTTGGAAGTTGCCACCCTCCGTGTCTAGTATTGACCTCAGAGAGGCACAGACTAATCTCTCTCTAGCTCACCCACTACTAGCTCTAGCACAGCCACGCTTGGCTGGAAATTTGTATCTTGCAGCTTGAATCTTCTTATATACAAATAAGTATGTAATAGTACGTAGAGTTATGTACGTAAATGAATAAGGCTATGATATACACTAAAAATTATTTAAGTACCATACCCAATGTGATTTGTAGTTGTAACTTTCAGTCCAATGTATTTGTACTCGTTGGTTATAAAAATAATTAAGTAAAATTAATTTTAAGTACGATAGTTTGATCTATGCATGTTATAAATATGAGTATTTTTAATGACATTATTTAGTGACTTTACTATTACTTAGAACTCACTGTTAATTTAACGACTATGATCCATTGCAGTAACACGAGGAAGAATGGTTTGCTCATTTTTCCAATGCAGGCAACTAATGATAATCAAAGAGAAACAAGGCGTTTGGAGTCCACTTTTAAAATGTCTATGATACCTTTTATCTCTTTTTAAGTAATTACACGTAACTCTTTTTTCAATTTTATTTATATATTTCATTTATTCTAATCTTAATATGGATGACTTGTTACAGGTTGTTTAAACTTGCACCGACTACTTCCTTAAACTCGACGACTGACCATTGTAACTGACCCATCTAGATTATCAAATGACAGACCTAACTATTAGACCACCCATAATGATTAAATAAAAAGTACTATTGGAGATGCTCTAAATACTTCATTCACAGCCACCCAACTACTTGATGAACATCTTGATCTAGCTAGGCTGACACCAAATTATCAAGACTATAACATTCACAGCCACCCAACTACTTGATGAACATCTTGATCTAGCTGGGCTAACACCAAATTATCAAGACTATTTTTTTTTTGTTAGACATCATTGTGGGGAGGAGAACGACAAGATTCAAACTTATGATCTTAAGATCTAAGATCATGAATATTAGGCCAACCATTAACCTCAATTATCAAGATTTCATTTATGTCGTGCTAGGCTTAGCCAAGGAGCCAACAACGGCTATCTATCATATCACCAAACAACAAATTGGGGTCGTGCTCGTGGTAAGTTATCTATATGGGTAATTTGGAAGATGGTACAAAAATTTAGACATATTTGAAGTAAAATATATTAAAGAAATTTATTTGGCTCTAAGTGCATTTTTTTGATAAAAGACTAAAATGGTGTTTATTACTCAATTACTCTCTCTCTCTCCATTACTCTTTCCTTCTCTCTTTCCTATTTCTCTCTCTCTCTCTCTCATATTGATAATTTTTTTTAAATATGTAAATATTTGATTTAATTTTTTTTTCATCTCTCTCTCCCCCTATTTTTTCATCTCTCACTCCCTCTACCCTTATTTCCTTATTCTCTCTCTTCTTATATCAATGTTACAAAAACGTAATTACACTAATCAATTATATCAATTAGTTACAATTACCCTATATTACACTAAATATTTACTCATGTGTTCTAATAAACTAAATAGTTATATTAAACAATTATACAAAATTACAAAACCAAGTCAATTTATCATTTAGTTATTTACATAAATCAAAGAGTTACACAATTTAGTATGATCATGATATGGTTACACCAATTATATAGACCAAATTGTGTTTATCATTACGCAAAAGACTTTACCATTATACTAAATTTGATATATATATAATTAGTGTAACGATGTCACGATACTAAATAGTGCAACTACTTAGTTTTTGTAAACAACTCAATGAAAAATTGAGTTGATATTATAAATTTGTGTAATTGTTGGTGTAACTATTTGGTTTATTAGAACACATGAATAATTATTTGGTGTACGATACGACAATTATAACTGATTGGTGAAATTGATTAGCGTAATTGTGTTGTTGTAATATTGATATAAATAGAGAGACATAGAAAGAATATAGGGATAAAGAGAAATAGTTAGAGAAAATAAGGGAGGGAGAGAGAGAAAGAGAGAAAATGGGGAGAGGGATGAAAAAATAACTTAAATCTTTATATATTTGAAAAGAAAATAAATTATCAATGATAAATATAGAGAAAAAAATAGGGGAGAGATGGAGAAAGAAATGGGGAAAGAGAGAGAGATAGAGAAAAAATAGGAAAGAGATAGTGAGAGAGTCTAATGAAATCTTTACATTTTTTATTAGATATATAATTGTCAATTAAAAATGCATAATTTAAGGGAGGACATTTAGGTAAAATAGTTTTAATTTCATTTAAATGTTGTATCTAAACACAATATATTTTATTAAAATTAAATTTAATAGAGTAAATAGTTTATCTATAGACTTTTTTTCACATAAATCTAAAAAAAAACCCTTATATCTATATTTAACAATCAGGCTAAGGCTGTCTATGGGCCAGAAGGTCCAGGTCAGCCTGGCCCAAGTTTGCGCTAATAAAACTGCCTGGCCACGTACTGCCACATAGTCCAGCTGTACCTCAAAATTGTTTAGGATAAATTACACTATGATATTTGATTTTATTACATGGACACCCCTATCATATTTTTAAAATTATATTGAGACCCTTGACATTCAAACACGTGTGACAGCCGCACCCCTACCGTATGATAGACATCAAAACAAGTACATAAAAAAGATGACATCATCAACAAAATTTAATAAAATATCCAAAATACGCTTTTACCAAGTGCAAGATTATATTAATCCACTAACTAAATGTGATAAAGCAAGAAAACCTTCTCACCTTACTATTTTTAAATAATTAGTTAGATTTACACGAATTATGATTTTGAAATTCTTAAAATTTTATCATTTGATTTCTAATAATCTACAAATCACCAAATTCAATAAGTTACTAATTAAAATTTAATTCCAAATAATCTATAAATTACCAATGTCATTAACCACTAGAGTCAGTAATTATTTAATCAACTAATTATTCAATTTCAATTAATTACTAATACATTTACAAAAAAAATGGTCAAAATTAGTCAAACACCAACAAACCCCTTTTTTTTGGAATACTTCATCTACAATTTATCAATGTCATTATCCACTCAAGTTGGCCAAAAAAAAAAAATTATCCACTCAAGTCATCACTTACTTAATCAACTACTTATTCAATTTCAAGTAATTGCTAATGAATTTACAAAAAAAAAAAATTAGTACGAAGTAGTTAAACACCCCAAAACCTATAATCTATCAAATTAATAATTTAATTTTCACCACTGGTCATCATCATCTGTTTGCCGACCTTAACTAGCGATTCTAGCATTCAATATTGGTCAAAATCCCCTTCCATTGGTTATCTACAATCAATCCAAATTTTACAATGAATTAGATCATGTGTATAATGTAACTATACAAAAAGCCAATATAATGTAAACATATAAACATTGTTGGATCAAATATATAAAACAATCGTTTATGTTACCACGTAAGTTAAGAGAAAAACACTAATCGAGATTCGAGAGTGGCAAAGAAATTTCGGGAAATGTATATAGTATACCCGAAGTTGTGGAAATCTAGTAGGGATAGTGGCCGAAACTTTACAGACAGAAACAGAGTGCAGTCCCCAACTGTGAAGATGCAAATTTCAGTCTAATGACCAAAATTTGTAACATCAATGATATAAGAGTTTTTATTAGGACCCACGTGACATGACACCAAATAAAAAAACCCAATTTAATTACCATGTGATCTAACCTCTAAATTTGATCTCAAAATTTACCGTACTAAAATAGGAATACACATGTAATCAAACGAAAGAAAGACAAAACTCTAACCGTTTAGTTGGTCTCTGATCATCACCTTTCATCACCCTTGTCTTGCTGCTCGCTGGCAAAAGCTGCTTGCCGGCCATCATCAGGTGGGCGGCATTCACTCTCACCACCAGCTGTTGAGACTAAACGGGAGACAAAATTTCCAAACCCATTCGGCTTCAAATACATCTCCAACTGATGGCTCGGGGAATGAACAAGGCTTGTCATGCTAAGTCCAGTTGGTTCTGCTAACATGTCTTCGTCGCGGTTGGGATGGGAATTCAAGTCTAGTTGTCCCTTGCTGGTTTCAGCAACCTGCATTTGGACTCCACTTGGGCTTCTTTCATTTTCGGAATGATTCATATGCAGCAATGCAAGTCCAGATGCAACGTCCGTTTCTGATTCGTCCTTAGGGTGATGCTGGTCCTTTCCCTGGGCGACTTCTGCTTCGCGTTCCGATGGGCGTTTCTTCTTGCGCAGCATGAGGGTTTTAAAGCGGCCCTACACAGTCTTGCACACGTTGCATTCCGCTTGGGGGCTGAATGCACACAACGCAAGTGCAGCCAGGACGATGCCGGGGATGTTTGGTAGTGGCTCCAACTGCATGGTTACCTGGGTCACCAACATTGTCTCCAAGAACTGCTGCAGTGGCCAATGCGTCTAAGCCAGAAGGTTCGTATTCTTGGGCTACCTTATTTCCTGTGGTTCTTCGCTTCTTAGCATCTGGGGAAAAATAGAGAAGTTAGAGAACTACAACCAAGTTTTTTGAATCTCATGGGGAAGAAAATTGGACAAGAAAAATGAAAAGCTTCATGGAACAAAGAAATCGGTGGGTCAGTGTAATCGAGAGATGAGCAACTTTTGTGCTGATGAAACAACTTTGATATCTGGTCTACTGGTCTGACACGCAGCTATGGCATTTTGAAAATTGAGGCGATTTTGACGTCAACGCGCCTTGGAACTGGATCATACATCGTCTCACAAATTTTCTAAAACATGCATAAACAAATGCCCAAAGAATATGTTTAAAACGACACATGGACTATGTTCATGGGATGAAATTGGGTGTGGATATAGTATATGTGAGACACAACATTTATGTAACACATCAAGGAACAAAGAAGAAAATAATTCTTCTTCAACAGAAAATTAGGGAATTCTTTCCAAATTTTTGCTTGTGCAACATGTATTTGACAAAAGAAAAATTAAATGTCAGTGAATTGTCAATGAACAACAACAGGATGCAGACACTTCATTTCCCCTGAAAATATGGAAGAAAATAACTGTGCAAATCCTGTTGAGCAAATTAGCATAATTATACAAAATTTTACATAACAAAATAATATCTAGATCACAACTTAACAAGAATATGCAAATAAATATAAAATAATAATCAATTTAG